AAATGACCATAGCACTTTAGAACAACTTGTATGTAAAAAATTTTATTGGTCTAGTACTTATCTTCTACTTTAATACTATTTTTAAATATCTAATTTTGTAACCCCCCCCCCCCCCCTCATTTCACTAGGAGTAGCATGGTGAGTACAGATGATGAAGCATTTTGGGAGAAAGCCCTTTCAGTTAGAGATATTCCAAATTCCTTGAAAAAATCCTTGTTTCTGTCTCCTTTTTTGGCTGATGTTGTTACTGCCAGTAAATCAATGGAGTTGCTACAGAGAACTGGTTACAAATGTGAAATATTCAAGTCCAAAGGTCAGTCTGGATATTTTTGTCGGTGTTTGTTTACTTATGTTAAAATGCTACTCGGAATATTCTGCTAAACTTTTATCTGAAAAAGAAATTTTAATTCAAGTTTTTATAATTGTGTAAGTTTTTTGTAACATCAGAATTATTATAATTAATTCATGTGGGAATAAGATAATTTACAGTTTATTTTAATTTAACTGGAAAGTTCTTCAATTTAATTCTTAAATTCATGTAACTTTTTTTTTAGTTTATAAAACTATAATCAGTATACTTAAAAAAAATATCATAGATGTTAAAGCTAATTTTTTGTTCAGAATTAATTTTTATTTGGGCTTTTTATGAATCAACAAACTTCATATTTTTATCCCTATTCACAGTTTCAGCTAATTAGCAGAATCCATTACTGTATAAACATTTCATTATTCCAGTTTAAGTATGTAAAGACTTAGTGAAAACTTTTTGTTTTATTATTAGCTGATTTTTGTTTGCCCATTTATTATATACTTATGATAGTTTCAATTTCACCTATATGTTTCAAAGCAATTGGTAACTTGACTATCCTGATCCTCACTGTATCATTTCTCTAGTTGCACACTGTTATTCTCCCGTGTCACATTGCAGTCTGATTTTAGCATATTAGAGCCTCTTTTTTTTTCCCCACGTTGTTGTTGTTTTTTCAAAACTCTCTCACAAATTTAAAATTTTTTACTAGTATTTATTTTCTTAAAATAAGTATATATACATATATCAGTTAAATTTTGTTATAACAATGGTTTTTGTTTTCCCTAATTTTTAATGTTTCACACTTAGTGAACCTAAGATTATTGGAAATAAACAGCTATAATGAATTTATTAATCATTCAGTGCAGTCTATAAAACTAGAAACAGTTGTTTTTGACCATGTATTCCTGTTTTTCCTGATTATTCTTGAACATTACAGGTTCACTGTATTCCAGGTTTCTAACTAACCTCATTAAGTGTTTGGAATATGCGAATTGTCAAGTGCAAAGAACCAGTAATAACCAAGTTGCTAACATTGAGACGTCATCAGAAGAGTTGAAGAGTCGGTACAAAGCTGAAGAAACAAACAAAAATGTTGATGAAATTGATTCTTTGACTTCTAGATTTAACTACTGGTTGACCTGGACAGGTGTAGAAAATCCTTTTCTTTGGACCAACTTTCAGTGCCTTCTCAAGCCTTGTCCAACAAATCTGGAATCAGAAACTAAGCAAAATGAGTGGTGGTAAGCTTCTACTCAATTTACTTCTAATCAGTCCAGGAGAATTAACAAATGTACATTATTCAAGAGATAACAATGGGAGATTGTAGTTAGGTTCTGGAAGATTTATTGGTGCTACTATAGCATGTGGTCCAGAAAGATATTTACCCTATAGCATGTGGTCGAGAGAGATATTTACACTATAGCATGTGGTACAGAAAGATGTTTACATTATAGCATGTGGTCTAGAAAGATATTTACACTATAGCATGTGGTCTAGAAAGATATTTACACTATAGCATGTGGTGTAGAAAGATATTTACACTATAGCATGTGGTCTAGAAAGATATTTACACTATAGCATGTGGTCTAGAAAGATATTTACACTATAGCAGGTGGTCTAGAAAGATATTTACACTATAGCATGTGGTCTAGAAAGATATTTACACTATAGCATGTGGTTCAGAAAGATATTTACACTATAGCATGTGGTTCAGAAAGATATTTACACTATAGCATGTGGTCTAGAAAGATATTTACACTATAGCATGTGGTTCAGAAAGATATTTACACTATAGCATGTGGTTCAGAAAGATATTTACACTATAGCAAGTGGTCCAGAAAGATATTTACACTATAACATGTGGTCTACAATGATATTTACACTATAACATGCAGTCTACAAAGATATTTACACTATAGCATGTGGTTCAGAAAGATATTTACACTATAACATGTGGTCTACAATGATATTTACACTATAACATGCAGTCTACAAAGAGATTTACACTATAGCATGTGGTCTACACAGAAACTATCATCGTTGCCATTTTATCTTTTGTTTATTTGCAATTGGCACCATTTATCATAAATAATTTTAAACTAATAAAGTACAAAATACCATTACATAATGTTTTTGGGGCAAATATAATCAGAATAAAATAAATTCCAATGAACAAAACTAGCACAATTATAACCTAGATTTAAGGTACTCTTTTAGAACACACAACTTATTAAATTATTATTATTTGCTGAACAAAAACGTGGATAGATATAAATTATTTAGCAAGAAATTATGTTTTAGTGAATCATTAAAACGGTGATGATGATAATATCTGGTAGACCGCGCGCTCTAGTGTAAATATCTTTGTAGACCGCATGCCATAGTAGCATCGATTTATTTTGATAACTTATCTGCACTAGAACGTACTTTGAAGTCTATAATAAAGTTGTGATACCATAAATTACAGGTTGTATAAAAGAAAGCTCTGAAAGCTTAAGAAAATTAATTTGTGATCATTGTAAAAAAGTTATTTATTCTTTGGATAAAATTAATTGTTTTAAATTATATAAATTAAAAATAATTGTACTCCATGAAATTTCATAGCTCAGAATAATAATACTGTATGCTTGGTAATCAGGATGTATACGTATTATAGGTTCGTATGTAAAAGGTTAACAACGGGAAAAATTTTATATGATTTACCGAGAAGATATACACACAGAATATATTAAAGTTTTAAAACTTACCTCACCACAAAAATAAAGTTAATATCAGCATAGTATTTGATTTAATATTGACACCATTCTTTGTTCTGATGATAGAAAGCATTTCAATTTCACATTACTGACCAATTTTTAGCAGAGCATCTCCATCTGTCTGGGTCGGTGTTTGGTCATGTTGTTCGCGACCTAGAAGGGTCAGGTGCAATCTAGACCTCTTCCTCCCTCCTTCACGATTTCTATGTATATTACAAATGTTTCTAATATTTAAACTGGGAAAAGTAATTATAGCTAAATAATATTACGTTTGAAGTTCTTTTACAAACTTTCATCAACAAATGGCTACATTTTTATAACAATAAAAACAGTGTACTTGTTCCAATAACATTTACCTTAGGCCTCAACTTGTGAACAAGGCCTGAGATTAATGTTATTGGAAGAACAAGTAAAATGCTCTTGTATAACTGAGGGATGATTATTGGCACCTTTGTAGGGAAATATATGTTATTAACTGTTATGTATAATTTCTTTGAACACACTTCTGATTGGCCATATTATAACTACTTCATAATAATTTAAAAACGTTATTATTGAGAACATTTGATCTAGAATAAGCATTCCTGGTTAGCCCTTACAACTTAATATTACAGCACAACAAAACTGTTTCAAATAATGGTTGACATTTGGCAAATTTTATCCTTCAAATCTAGAAAAATGCCGATAAAACTGTAAAGAACTTCAGTTAAGTTAGCAGTTAACTTTTATGTGAAAATGCTAATCAAAACTTTTTAATTATCCAGTTGAAATGTTTTTAGGTTTAAATGGAATTGAAAATAGAACTTGAAAATGCAAGACATACATTTCAGTAGCTTTAACAACATAAATATAACTAATCAGTGTATAATCTATTACACGGCATTTCTTTTGTTGGCTTTGAAGGCTATGAGAAAATTAGTTTTCCTTTTAATATATATATGTTTTTCCCAAAAGATAATAACTAACGATTTATAAAATGTGGCACCAAGGCAGTAACTAAAGGAAAATCTAAAATACTGCCCAACTTGTAAAAATTAGAAAAAATTATATAATTAATACTTGAAACCATTGGTACTTGGTGAAACTCTATAATTAGAGAATTGTGAAAAACAAAGACAATAGTACATTTCACTGGTAGTTATTACAACTATGAAAATGAAATGTAATTTAGAAAATTAAGCAGTATTATAGATCATTTGTTTTAATTAAGTGATCTATATCTTATCCTTAACACTTTTTTTTTCTCCTTTTAGACTTGTTTTGTGAAAACTTAACAAAATCACTTCATTTAAGTTTGTAAAGTATGTTTGTAGGTATGTTCAGTATTTCACTATAATTTCTTCCACCTGGTAGCTCAGTAGGAAATCTGGGGGCTTATAATGCTAAAAATTGATTTTGATTCCTGTGGTGGAGGGTGTAACACAGACAACCCACTGTGTAGTTTTGTGTTTCACAAACAAACAAAACCACAATTTTCAATAATGAAAGAACTAACGTTTTTATGAAATTTTACTAGCTTTCAAACTACTGAGCTTCAGTATAAAAGAAACTGAATATAAAATAAATTATTGTAGACTCTCAGCCTCAAAAGATGCTATTCAAGAATGTACGTTTGCTTGCTTGGTCATGGGTATTGCTATTAATGTTAAGCGTAAAGATATAAAAGTTCAATATGTTTTAAAAAGGCTAGTCATTAAGTAGGTTAACATTTGGATTTAGAGCTTGGCAATTAGTGAAATTTACTAATTGATTAATCATCAAACACCTTAATTGATTACTTTCAACTAGTCTGTTTTTTTTTTCATGAGACTTGGATAGTTGGAGAAACTAGAAGCACTAAGTTCAACTAGTTGATTATTTTTGATGAGTTGTTACACAAAACAGTCTGAACTAATCAGAGATAATTATGAGAAATTACAGTGATAATATTTCAGTTACTTGGATAGTTGGAAATAGTAAAAAAAAAGTTATAATTGGAAACATTAATTTTGATTAGTTGATTATTTTCGTGATATTAATCAATTTAATCATAATTTCGATTAATTGGTGGTCATAATTGATTATGTTGAATTAATTGTTCAGCTCTCTTGAGATGAGATCACATTATTTTAAGGAAGATTTGCCTTGATATACTTATCAAGTCACTTGTTTTTTTGGTTAATTATAACACCAATTTGCAGTTTATAAACTTTTTTTTGGTGGACACAACAAAATCATTAAATCGAATTCAGCAGAGCATCCTCACCACTCACTATTTTTGCCCTTTTCACGGTTTCTGGTACAAGGAATACTTCCTGTGTAACATTGGGATTACAGCCACTAACAGCAAGGATACCCAACTGATGAACCAATGCATTCTAATCTTTATACAATTGTGTTTTATAACATTGCTTCTGTCCAGTGAAATTAATATGTTAAATTAGCTGAATTCATTACTGGATTAAGTTTTAGCTCTATAATCAGATGTTAATAATAATAGAGGCTATATACCCTACTTTAAATAGTTTCTAGTACAAATCACTTATTCAAAAATGGTTTGAATCCTATTGTGCATTTGTGTTACTATGAGTATGTTGTGTGTGCCGTAAATAGATAACCGTGGAGATTCAAAAGAGAAATCTTAAACACTTCCATAAAATTAAATGAATGGGCTTTATACTTGGTATATGTTGTAGCAATGATCTTATGGTATTTTCTTTTTAATGTAATTTCTACCATAATTAAGATGAATTTGTATTTATAAAACACTAAGCAGTTAGAAAAAAAACGTTTAACTACAAAAAATAAAAGATAGAATATGTCAATATTTAAAACTGTTGAAAACTTTTTCAGTCACAAGATATCAGTACATTCGAGCGTGACTCTACCATTAACCCATTTAATACAAGATGCACTAAGGCCTCTGGTGGAAGAAGAGTGCACTAAGACCTGCCAGTGTCTCATCGAGGTCCTTAAAAGAGAGTACCATCTTTCTTACCACCTTGAGTCTATAAAGGTAAGTGATATGAGAATAAAATAAAACAGTTACGTAAGATTTGCTTTAATTAAAAACTTTTGCTCTTCCTGTGTTTAAAAATTTCTGGCATTTTTTTTTTGTCAATAATTGAGTAAAAATATCACAAAATGCTTCTGAAATGGGGGAAAATGTAGAAAGGGTTTTGAGTTTTTATGCATGGTTTCGCTATTAATCTGAGCATTAAATTTATGATTTATAACCTGGTCATCAAGCACAGATGGTCATTTGCTTAAGTCTGCACTTAACAACAAAAAAACAAAACAATGATTTAGAACTTATTGATCATACTTTAAAGTAGTCAACTAAAATTTTCAGTGCATCTATACATTTGACTGAAAAAAAGAAATTCATAGAATCAATATTACTCTTCAAGCAAAATGTTACTTGTAGTGTTTTAGAAATAAGTTTTGTTCATCGCACCTAACTTCAGAACAGTATATGCCAGACTTATTTTCTGTACATTTATTTTTTTTACATTAAGAAGTTTTAACTGATTCTACCATCTTCATTTAGAATTTCTTCCTTATGGCTGCAGGGGATGTGATGTTTTCTTTCTGTTCAGAAATTTTCGATCGGGTAAGAAAATTAACTGTTCGTTGTTGTTGTTTTTTATATAAAATACATTTATGGTTCCCATGCTTTCTAAATAGTAGCACCTGTTTGAAATTAAGCAGTCTGTAAACAACGATTGATATCCGATCACCACAATCTTTCGATGAGTACTTGATATTATGGTGATATTAGGATTTTTTCAAGTAAAAATCAGTTTTATAATTTTATTAGTTAAATATGGAACAATTGTGTAAGTGATATCTGGAAAATAAAAAATCAATAATAGTAATGCAAGACATTATTTTGGTTTGTTATTTATAATATTGGAAGCATAAATAAATATGTTGTTTTTTCAACTTCACAACTTTTTCTTTGAAATTGGAGCACAATTTGTATAAAAGTGTTTCAATAATGGCAACTGATAGTATGTATGTTATTCTCTAGATGTCAGAAGAAGAAAACATCCTCGATCCTTTCTTTTTGAATGCTGCACTTGAAGATGCATTATCCTGGCGGGAGCTCAGGGAGTCTCATAGGTATGATAAACCTACATTTTGTATTTAAAGGTTTTCCTGGGACCTTTAGAAATAACTTGCATTATACACAGTTTTATCTTAAGGATGGCTAAACAGTTTGTACATTTTCTTGCTTTCCAAGAAAGTGAGTTACAGACATCATGAACACAAAGTCTTTTTGTTTGTGCAAAGAGCATGCTCGTCTTTTTGTTTCCATCCATTGTGACTGATATGTCTCTCATTTCAAAAATAGAGCTTTGGTTAACTTCAGACTTCCAAGTTACTCTAATAGGTATTCTTTGACAAATGATTTGAGCTATGTTTTTGTATTGAGACAAGGTCGATTATATATTGTAACATTGTTGGTAACACTAAGTCCTCTGAATGAGAGAATTGGTGGGTGACAACATTTTTGACAAATTTTTTAATCCACCTTCACAAAATTACTCAAAACATTGTCACCCAATGACACACTGGTCCAAAGGATTGATTCCAAGACTCTTGCAATCCATAATGAACCTTCTTTTGTTACTCTGGTGTGATGTATAGTTGTGAGACATTTCAATGTGCTTGTATTTGCCATTGTGGTAATCTAGTTTTTGCACTGCTAGTAAACAGGGTTGAACTCATGACCCCAAACAAGCACACTATGAACTGAGCTAAGATCTTAACCCATTAATAATTGCTAGTAAGAACATTTTTTAATAACCCATGCTACCATCTTCTTCCCCTCTCACAAATAAGGCCTGTCCTCAGACTTTATCTCAGGGTTGTGGAATGAACACTAGTTGGGTGCCAGTTTTTCTTGGGTCTCCCACGTGTTGGATTTGAACCCAGGACTGTTCACACACACTAGGCAAGTGTTCTACCAGTTGAACTAATGCGTTAACTTGCTATTAAGGTATTTGATAACAACTTCATGACCCAACCTGAGTATTTTCTTGACTGTAACAAATCATATATCAGTTTCACAGAGAATGTTTATGACTAAACCAAGAAATCTTTTGAAAGTCTTTGCTCTGCTTCTTATGATCATCACTTGTTCTGTTTTTATCGTTTTTCTAGTCAGTGTCCTTTGGTAACAACTATCTTATGGCTGATTTGTTAGTGCTTAGCCTGATATCATCTCTGTATGCTTGAACTTGTTTATGTTAATATCTGACATACCACTTGTCACATTGACAGAAAACTTTGTTATGTGTCATGTTTGTCAAAACATTTACTGGTTTGTTGTTTCTTTCAATAATAACTGTTCAAAATTTTATTAATGGAAAACTTCGATTTATTTAGTATATGTGATGGTGTAAGATTGTATGTTTTTTTTATTCTTGTTCATCTCACTTGTTAAACATCATTTTGAAAAGCATTTCTCAGTGCATAAATTTTTAAGGTTAAATGATCATTTGTGTATTTGTTACCTCTGCCACCGAAAGTGATGGGACTTATGTTTTCACCCCTGTCTGTGTGTGTGTTTGTCAGCAAGAGTTCTTTAAAATGGCTGAATGGATTTGGTTGTAAGTGGGTATAAGTTTGGACTATGACCCAATTTAGAAGTGATTAGATTTTGGAGAGTCAAATGTCAAGGCCACGAAAATCCAGAAAAAATCCCTATTTGTTAACATGGGGACTGATTTTTTCACACTATTTTTGCTCTATAACTCAATCAAAAATAATCAGATGATTTTTTCACACTATTTTTGCTCTATAACTCAATCAAAAATAATCAGATTTTGATGAAACTTTGTGGACATACTCATACCTCTGCTACACAGCGTTGGTCATATTCAACCCTCAAAACATATGAAAACGTGACCATATGTTTGTTGTTATCAAAGAACACAGACCATTTTTGGCAGGACAGTACGGAATATTATTCTACACTCCAATGAGTGCCTCTCTAATTGGTTCTTTGTTATGGACATCTTGACTTTCCCTGAGCAAGATGATTAATAATAGAGGCACTTTTTTATTTGAATCAGCTTTCAGTAAACTGTCCTGATAAAGCTGATGGAATTATGTGGAAAACATCAGAAAAGCATAAGAGTCAATTTCTTGTAATTCCCTTATGACATTAAATGTTGAAATAATCAAGTTGATTCAGTGAATTTTGAAATGATGAAGTTTATTGTTGAAAAGTAATTGTGATGATGATCTCAATTTTTTTCATTATTCTGTTACAAATTGATCAAATGATTGTCCTAACACCTCAGAAAACATCATAAAAGTGTCAAAACAACAGCCATCTTACCAAGAATGTGTATCCAAAAAAACCATCAGAGAAAGATTTCGCAATAAAAAAAAAGTTGAAAGTAACATGAAGATGGAAATAAATAACCACAGCAATTAGAAGAAGAAATTGCATCCTAATATGGAAGTCTTGCATATCAGGACAAAACGATTTGGGGGACAAAGAAAATAAAACTCTTAAAAGAACAGATTTGAGGTCCATTTCCTAATTAAACGACATCCATAAACTGAAGTTGAAAATATCAAAAACAAGCATCAACCACAATTACAAGTGGCATCCTGATGTGGAACTCTAACCAAGCATGGTGTTGTTAAGACTTAAGTCTGAATATGTTGTCAACTGGCTGTGCATTAAAATTATCCAAAATATAATTACATTTTACTCTGCAGATTTCAGAACTGTTCATGGCAAGAAAGTGACTGCCGGAATTGAATCTTTCTTATTTTCCACTCAGATTTTGATTTTTCAGTCTGGCTTTCCTAATTTATATCATGCAAGTAAGGTAAACATCTCTCTAGTAAAGTCACTGACATTTAATGACCTGTACTGAAACTTACATGTATCAAATGAACACTGGTCACCAGAACTGACATTTAATGACCTGTACTGAAACTTACCTGTATCAAATGAACACTGGTCACCAGAACTGACATTTAATGACCTGTACTGAAACTTACATGTATCAAATGAACACTGGTCACCAGAACTGACATTTAATGACCTGTACTGAAACTTACCTGTATCAAATGAACACTGGTCACCAGAACTGACATTTAATGACCTGTACTGAAACTTACCTGTATCAAACAAACACTGGTCACCAGAACTGACATTTAATGACCTGTACTGAAACCTACCTATATCAAATGAACACTGTTATTCTTTAACAGCTAATGGTTATAAAGAATATTCTTCTTCCTCAAATGCATTCTCTAATATCATTGTTCCCTAGTTTTAATGTGCTTTATCAACTTAGTTTTGTTGAACCACTTGAAGAGTTTTTGTAATAATAGTATCTCCTTTGCTAATGATATAAAGTCATCAAATATTTTGGCTTTTCCCTTTAGCATGGGTGTCCATCCTTCACGAGTTGCCCTCCTCCAATCATTTTTTTATTTGTTGCCAGGTCTTCTGCCATTACATTTTTGTTCACATCTTTAATCCCATCTTTCCAGTGCTTTACTGGCCTTCCTTGTCTTCGCTTGTCAACTACTGGCAGCTCTAATTCTCTCCGTATTGCTTGTTCTTCTCTTCACATGACCAAACCATTTCAGCCTTGCTTCTCTTGACTTTTCCTCTATTCCACAGACTCCTGACATTTCTTTAGTTTTCTTGTTCAGTGACACTCCCACCAGCCATCTCAGCATTCTTATTCTGTCTTCTTCAGGGTCCAAGTTTCGGCTCTGTAGAAGGGCACCGGTTTAATCGTGGTCTTATACACTTTGACTTTCTATTCCCTTGGTAACCTTTTGTCACAGATGGCTGTGTCTATGGAGGATGTCCTAGCTCTACAGTATAATATCTGACTCTTCTCCTGCATGCCCTGACAGCAACCATCCTCTTTTCTCAACCAGGGTTGGGACTGACAATAGCAGAGTTACATTAAACGTTTTGACTGATTCGTGGAAATATTTTAGAAGTGAATGTAGCATTAAATAATATGCTCACACTAGTAACATAACCCATACCATGGCCAGCTTAGAATTACAGTTTTGAGCTTTTTTGCCATTCATTGGCTCAGATCAAACAGTTTGGATTCTATTGCCTTTCATTAGCTCAGCTGGAACTGTTTTGAATTCTGTCACCTTACATTGGTTAGGCTTAATCACTGGTGGTAAATATAACTTGTTGAAGATGTATTTTCTTGTAAATGGGTAAGTTCAAGTGTAGTGTAAATTTTATCTAGGTAGAACAATATTTCAGACTTTATAACTAGCACTCTTAGTATTTAATTGAGAGATTAGCAGGAAAGCTCCACAGTCTCAATATTTTAATTTCAAGTGAGAGATTAGAAATATATAGTAAATATATTATCAAAAATCACTAAAAGTACTGAACTTTCTAAAATAATACATCATCAGTCTTTTTGGTCATTTGTTAAGTTACTTGATTTTTCAATTTCAAACACTTAAGAACAGAATGTACAAAACATTTTAAAAAAGTTGGGGGGGGATATTTGACAATAAACAAGTTTGCATATTTTATATGTAACTTTAACACACCTTCATGAAAACCTTCAAATGTTACAGAAGCTGTAATTATATGCTGAGGATGATTCTCTGCGGCAGCTTTCTGTACTTGAATCATGTAAGGAGTTATAAACATGCTTCCTTATCGTGACAGAAACATTGTTGTACAGAAGATAATGAAAACTTTGTTGAATTGTTTAACATATTCTGTTGCAAATAGCAACTGTTTGCCTTTTCAGAATTATCTATTTGACATTTTTTGTTATAAGTGTAAGTTCTAAACCATTTTTTAGAATTTTTTGCCATTTATTACTTGAAGTGAACATGATGCTGTAAATATTCAATAAAATCTAAACATTAAAATGGAAACAGTTCACCAGGAGCCTCTGTAGCTAAGTGTTGGAAGATCGTGTTTAATGTATATGACTAAGTGTTTCTCCTTTTTTTTTCAGGTTAAATGTAACTATAAACCCAGACTATGTACCGCAAAAGGGTTCGTCTTTAAACATCCTTGAAAACATTGTCCTCCAATATCAGGTAGAAATTGTAGTCTTGGTTGTGTCTTTTCAACACTTTTTTGATGTTTTTATAGATCGGAAGTCAATTTTGGACAAAAATCCAATCACTGCAAAAAAAATCAGAAGTTTTAAAAATTCATTGAAACATTAAATTGAGTACCTAAGAAATGTTCTTAGGCTGTAATACAATGTTTATCAGTCTTGCATTTAACTAGAAAAGTAGCCTTCTGAATGAAATCCACTTGATATTGACTAGCTCATGATTGATATTTTTTCCCATAATATTATTAAGAAATCACCTGTGTTTTGTAGTACTTGATCGTTGATAGTGCTGTTTTGCACATTGTGAAATACAGCTAACAAATCTTTGTTACTTGATACACATACAAATCCTTCAGTTCTGTAGTTGAATCCTTTTACTTCTAGGTAACGTTCTAAATAAATTATAGAATTATTTTTGTTGTTTCTTCAATTGAATAATGTGTTACTTTTAGGTTACTTACCCATTAATAACTTTCAAAGTATATTTTACAAATATATTTATTTGTAAAGTATAGACCTATTTAAGTAAGACATTAAAAAAAACTTTTTTTTTATGTGCATTAGAGGATTAAAGACAAGTTGATTAATACTGAATTATTTCCCATATGCTATTTCAACTTATTATTTTATTAAAATTAACAATGTTTATAATATGTTTAGATTAAGTTGCTGAAATACGACACCAAAAAAAAAGATAGTAAAAATTATAAAACTAATATTCCATTAAAGTTCATATACAACATTTCAGGCTAGTGCCCTTCTTCAAGTAAAAGTGCTCTTTAAATCCTCATATATATATATATATCCACTACTATTAGCCTTTGACTATCTACCTATAAATGTCAAAATTAAAAAATCAACCCAGTAATGAATATAGTTAAGTTCATATACTAGTCTTGCATTCTTACTTACAATGATTAGAATGCATTGTTTTATCAGCTAACTAAAGTGGTTGAACTTATCCAAACATTAATAAATAAACAAGAATCATATCAACGAAAATGTGAAACCTTAAAATATTGTTGATGAATTGCAGTAATTCCATAGCATTAAAAACTAGGGTAAGTTTATATCGCTGTGGTATTTTCAGACTCACTCATTAACCTTTGAGTATTTGGAAGTGAACCACATTATATCTGAAAATTTGCTAGATAATGTATTGCAGAGCAAAATTTGATTTCTCTTAATCTTAAATGAGTCCAAAGCAAAGAAAGAAACTGGATACAAGTTTCAGCTTAATGAAGCAATCTGAATTTCCAACACCCAAACAGCACTGAAGCTTCTAAAGGGCCAGTGTTTCTTATACCATCTTCACTGGAGTGAATATCATATTAAGCTCTTATCTTATCCTCAGTATATATTAGTCTATATTATATTAATCAGCTTTTATCTAGTCACAGACTGGGCCAGTATGACATTATATAGGGAAGGCAATAATGTCAGTTCTCTTCAGGGTACAAACAGTACCCACGTCACAGGGGGTCACTCTTACTATCAAACAAGAAATGTTTTATCCCTGGAGCATCTCTTGACCTACCAGTAGAAAAGATCACTGCAACCATCCATAAAATGCATAATGCTACAGTAATCCTTTCTAATGGGGAGCACACGTCATACCCTTGCTGACTGGCACAGTTCCTTGAATAACTAGGGTGAGAGATTAGTTAAGCACAAAAGACTCAAAATCGACAAAAATTTTGAGAAATCATACTTTAACTCATGAGTTAGAAAATACATTCCAAGGTTATTTATCACATTGCAACATGATAGTGACTTACTGGAAAAAAAAATTAATTGTAAATATTGATTCAGATAAAAAACTAAAAACCTTGGAACCAAAACACTTAATACTGCATAAAATCATAAGAATGGGACTTTCACACATGGAATTTCCATTAAACCTGGATGTTGTTATAAATTTCAGATTCGTACAATATGCTACCTTCGAACAAAATATAGCAACTTCACATATGTTTCCTGTCCATTATCCTCTTCAGATACAACAGCAATACATGATACACAGACTAGAAAGTCTTTAATAACTTGTAGTGACTACACGTGTTGCTGCATTGTAAACATAAAACAAGAGCAACAACAAAAAATGAAATAATCATCAATCTTATTTACCTTTTTTTTACATTTTTTATGGAAACCCTTAATGACAGGGTAAGAGAAACATAAAAAAATTGGTATAATTTTAATTATTTAATAAGATTTGTGATGCTTAGAGAAAAGGTGAGTTAAAACATCTTGATTTATACTTTGTAATGGTTCCCATATATAACTTAGTAATACCTGTTCCTTTCACTACAAAAATGAGAAATGTTTCAAAATTATGTGACCTGTCACTCAACAGATTACAAGTCTTGAATGGTATGGTTATGAATAACTGTATTTAATACAGCATAACCATACCATTCAAGACTTGAATAACTGTCTTTAATACAGGATAACCATACCATTCAAGACTTGAATAACTGTCTTTAATACAGGATTACCATACCATTCAAGACTTGAATACCTGTCTTTAATACAGCATAACCATACCATATATATATATATATATATGTATACACACACACACGAGATATTTGCAAGTTGAAAATTTATAACATGCACCATTAAGGTACTTATCCAAGGAAGAAACAGAAATATTATATTGAAATTTTGCAACATTGATTTACTCCTGAAATTATTGTGATGTTATTTAAACAAAGTCCATAATAACACGTAAGAAACTTTGACTCTTCATTCCTCCTGGACAACAGCCTGTAGACTCAAAGTTCTGAACACTGATTATTTGTAATGTTATGGTAAAGAAAACCTGGGTAACTTTGTCTAGAAATATCAGTAGAACTTTAGAATCTTTTGTTTTTCTTTCAGTGAACATAGTAGTAACATTAGTTACTGAATATTCAAAAGAAAAAATTTCATGGCAGAAATTTAGACGATGAAAATTGTTTATGAGATTTATTTTATCATCAATGTTATACAATATGATAAATTTGGTGGGTATTCTATGCCTCATCTACTTTCTTAGTTGAGTAAATATTTATAGAAGATAAAAAAAAAGGATATTACATAATTCCTTTTCTTTCTTTAGTTGAATTTTTTATTTTTGTCTAAGGAAAATTATTGTATGTTGAAATGTATTATGGAGATTTTTTAAATTATTTTTTCAAGACTCGCAGTTCTGGTTTTTAGCACATATATTTCATTATTTATAATAAGTGATATAAGTCTACGTAAATGGTTTGAAATTTCTAAAAATGCAAAAAAGAAAAGAAAATTTAAATTTGTATTTTTTTCTTTTGTTTAAGGTAACATGGCCTGTAAATGTACTCCTGTCTTCAAATTCTTTACAAATCTACAATCAAGTCTTTACTTTTTTACTCCAAATAAAATGTGCAAAATACCTCTTGGATGAGCTGAGATTCTCTGGTAAGAATATGGTATACATACCATGTATTTAAGTATTATTCAGACAATAAATAGATTATCAATATGTCCAACTGTATTTATTAAGGCAACCATTTGGATTCATTACCAAAGCCATCATTAGATTACTACAAGACTGTCCTGTGAATAAGTTTGAATGTACAGAAATAGCATGCACAAGTCTTACGTAAAAACAGCAGTATGTTAGCAATATGTGTGACAAAATGACAACTAATACATATGACTGTGAGAATTGAAGTTTTATCAGATTGTTTCAATTCTCTTAGCTATAATTATTTCTTGCTATTTTGTTTACATTGTTGTGTATGATCTGTGTTAACTTATTCTGGTAAATCTACCAGAACATTTAGGAAGAGAAAATGAAAATTATATGATGTCCAAAAAATCACAATTTATTATCATTTACAAACTAAATTATAGCAGTAGAGCTTCAAAAGTAATTTAAAATGATTTAAATCCTTTAAATAATCGGGGAACTACAAGTGTTACCCAAACTTATAACCATGACATATAGCAGTAGAGCTTCAAAAGTAATTTAAAATGATTTAAACCCTTTAAATAATCGTGGAACTACAAGCGTGACCCAAACTTATAACCATGACATATAGCAGTAGAGCTTCAAAAGTAATTTAAAATGATTTAAACCCTTTAGATAATCGTGGAACTACAAGTGTGACCCAAACTTATAACCATGACATATAGCAGTAGAGCTTCAAAAGTAATTTAAAATTATTTGAACCCTTTAAATAATCATGGAACTACAAATGTGACCCCAAACTTATAACCATGACATATAGCAGTAGAGCTTCAAAAGTAATTTAAAATGATTTGAACCCTTTAAATAATCATGGAACTACAAGTGTGATCCCAAACTTATAACCATGACATATAGCAGTAGAGCTTCAAAAGAAATTTAAAATGATTTAAACCCTTTAAATAATCATGGAACTACAAATGTGACCCAAACTTATAATCATGACATCTCTCTAATGTAAAATGTTATAATTGCTCACATCATAACATGTAGTATTCATGTAGCCATCATATATGTTCAAATCAACTCAAAACTTTCTTTACTGATCAGTTGTTGTTGTTGCTGAACTTAATGCATAATATTACTTTTTCTACATTAGTTTTAATGTTGATTCTTAAACAACCTGTTTAAACAGTAAGAGTATAATTATTAGTTTTAATGTTGATTCTTTATAACTTGTAAAACCGTAATAGTATATATATATAATTATCGGTTTCACTTAAACATTTGGATCTGATTTTAGTTTATTTTATAGATGGGGATGCTTAGAATAAGTATCTATGTGATTTTTATAAAAACTGTAGTACTAATAGTTTAAATTCTTTGTTGTTAACTATGTAAACATTGCACTTTTCATTATTCACTATTGTACAAAACATCAAAGTCATTCTTGTGTATATAAAAACTATTGGATCGGTTTAGAACTTATTCATGGAAATCTTGTAACTGGTTTTCTTAAGGAGTTATGGTTAAAACAGTACTTGGGTAAGTTAGCTAATGGAATTATACCAGCATCAGAGGATTTCTGACCTTTTTGGTAGAGTGTGTTTGTAACTGGTTTTCTTAAGGAGTTATGGTTAAAACAGTACTTGGGTAAGTTAGCTAATGGAATTATACCAGCATCAGAGGATTTCTGACCTTTTTGGTAGAGTCTATTTGTAACTGGTTTTCTTAAGGAGTTATGGTTAAAACAGTACTTGGGTAAGTTAGCTAATGGAATTATACCAGCATCAGAGGATTTCTGACCTTAATTTGGTAGAGTCTATTTGTAACTGGTTTTCTTAACGAGTTATGGTTAAAACAGTACTTGGGTAAGTTAGCTAATGGAATTATATCAGCATCAGAGGATTTCTGACCTTATTGGTAGAGTCTATTTGTAACTGGTTTTCTTAAGGAGTTATGGTTAAAACAGTACTTGAATAAGTTAGCTAATGGAATTATACCAGCATCAGAGGATTTCTGACCTATTTGTAACTGGTTTTCTTAAGGTAGTTATGGTTTAAA